TATACTTGCTGTCACCATCCAGAGGCAGCCTTTAAAATGGCACTACCTCTGTTAGTTCATGAAATATTTTAGCCAGACTGTATCTGATATTTGTAATTGTACTGCTTTTTAAAGATTTTGTTCTGCTTCTTAGCAGGAATAAGGGAGTTAAAATGGGAATATATTTTAATATATGATGAACAGCCTTATTGTAGTTTATTAATAATTAATTATAAGTAGTAATTTGTATTAGGTCAAATCCTTAAGTCTTTATTCAGATTTTACTGAGTAAGGACTGAGAAAATGAGGAGGGGGGAAATAACAGAAAATGAGGAAATGGCAGAAGTGCTAAGTGACTTTTGTTTCAGTTTTCACCAGAATGTTTAATAGCAATTGGACCTCTCACTTAATGAATGCCAGTGAGAATGAGGTAGGATCAGAGGCTAAAATAGGGAAAGAACAAATTAAAAATTACTTAGACAAGTTAGATGTTTTCAAGTCACCAGGGCCTGATGAAATGCATCCTAGAATACTCAAGGAGATGACTGAGGAGATAGCTGAGCCATTAGTGATTATCTTCAAAAAGTCATGGAAGATGTGTGAGATTCCAGAGACTGGAAAAGGGCAAATATTGTGCCCATCTATAAAAAGGGGAATAAGGACAACCTGGGGAATTACAGACCAGTCAGCTTAACTTCAGTGCACAGTACCTGGAAAAATAATGGAGCAAATAATTAAGCAATACATTTGCAGGCACCTCAAAGATAATAAGGTGATAAGTAACAGTCAGCATGAATTTCTCAAGAACAAATTGTGTCAAACCAACCTGACAGCTTTCTTTGACAGGGTAACAAGCCTTGTGGATGGGGGAAAGCGGTAGATGTGTGGTATATCTTGAGTTTAGTAAGGCTTTTGATACTGTCCCATGTGACCGTCTCATAAACAAACTAGGGAAATGCAACCTAGATGGAGCTACAATGAGGTGGGTGCAAAACTTGTTGGAAAACCATTCCCAGAGAGTAATCATCAGTGGTTCACAGTTAAGCTAGAAGGACATATCAAGTCGGGTCCCACAGGGATTAGTTCTGGTTCTGTTCAATATCTTCTTCAATGATTTAGACAATCACATAGAGCAGGGGTTCTCAAACTTCCTTGCACTGTGACCCCCTTCTGACACAAAAATTACTACAAGACCCGAGGAGGGGGGATCGAAGACTGAGCCCACCTGAGTCCCACTGCCCTGGGCGGGAGGGCCAAAGCTGAAGCTCGAGTCCTGCCGCCCTGGGCAGGAGAGCCAAAGCCCGAACCTCACTGCTCCGAGGATCAGGGGGATCAGAACCAAAACCCAAGGGTTTCAGCCCCAGGTGTTGGGCCTGTAACCTGAGTCCTGCCACCGAGGGCTGAAGCCTTCAATCTTCAGCAGCAGGCAGCGGGGCTTGGTCTTGAGCTTTGGCCCTTGGCAGTGGAGCTCGGGCTTTGGCCCCAGGTGGTGGGGCTTGGGCTTCAGCCCTGGCCCCAGCAAATCTAATGCCAGCCCTGGCCACCCCATTAAAACTGGGCCACGACTCACATCAGGGTCCCGACCCACAGTTGGAGAATCACTGGAATAGAGAGTACATTTATAAAGTTTGTGGACAATACCAAGATGGGAGAGGTTTCAAGTACTTTGGAAGATAGGATTAAAATTCAAAATAATCTGGACAAACTGGAGAAATGGTATGAAGTAAATGGGATGAACTTTAATAAGGAGAAATGCAAAGTAGTCCTCTTAGGAAGGAACAATCCGTTGCTACACCTACACACTGGGAAAGGACTGCTAAGGAAGGAGTACTGTAGAAAGGGATCTGGAGGTGATAGTGTAACTAGTGATAGTGACTGGAGGTGACAGTGACTAACTATGACTGGAGGGATCTGGAGGTGATAAGTGACTAACTATGAGTCAACAGTGTAATACCGTTGCAAAAAACCAAACATCAATCTGAGATGTATTAGCAGGAGTGTTGTAAGCAAGACAATAAAAGTAATTCTTCCGCTCTGCTCTGTGTTATTTAGGTCTCAACTAGAATTCTGGGTGCCACATTTCAGGAAAGATGTGGACAAATTGGAGACAGTTCAGATAAGGGCAAAAAAAATTATTAAAGGTCTAGGAAACATGATCTATGTGGGAAGATTGGGTTTGTTTAGTCTGGCAAAGAGAAGACTGATGGTGGAACATGATAACAGTTTTCAAGTACATAAATGGTTGTAACAAGGAGGAGAAAGAAAAATTGTTCTCTTTAACCTCTGAGGATAGGACAAGAAGCAGTGGGCTTAAATTGCAGCAAGGGTGTTTAGGTTGGACATTAGGAAAAACTTCCTGTCAAGGTGATTAAGCACTGGAATAACTTGCCTAGGGAGGTTGTGGAATCTCTGTCATTGACACCATCACAGGGCCTAATAACATCAGCCACACTATCAGAGGCTCGTTCACCTGCACATCCACCAATGTGATATATGCCATCATGTGCCAGCAATGCCCCTCTGCCATGTACATTGGTCAAACTGGACAGTCTCTACGTAAAAGAATAAATGGACACAAATCAGATGTCAAGAATTATAACATTCATAAACCAGTCGGAGAACACTTCAATCTCTCTGGTCACGCAATCACAGACATGAAGGTCGCTATCTTAAAACAAAAAAACTTCAAATCCAGACTCCAGCGAGAAACTGCTGAATTGGAATTCATTTGCAAATTGGATACTATTAATTTAGGCTTAAATAGAGACTGGGAGTGGCTAAGTCATTATGCAAGGTAACCTGTTTCCTCTTGTTTTTTCCTACCCCCCCCCCAGATGTTCTGGTTTAACTTGGATTTAAACTTGGAGAGTGGTCAGTTTAGATGAGCTATTACCAGCAGGAGAGTGAGTTTGTGTGTGTATGGGGGTGGGGGGGATGTGAGAAAACCTGGATTTGTGCAGGAAATAGCCCGACTTGATTATGTAAAGAGTTGTCACTTTGGATGGGCTAGCACCAGCAGGAGAGTGAATTTGTGTGGGGGGGTGGAGGGTGAGAAAACCTGGATTTGTGCTGGAAATGGCCCACCTGTTGATCACTTTAGATAAGCTATTACCAGCAGGACAGTGGGGTGGGAGGAGGTATTGTTTCATATTCTCTGTGTATATATAAAGTCTGCTGCAGTTTCCACGGTATGCATCCGATGAAGTGAGCTGTAGCTCACGAAAGCTCATGCTCAAATAAATTGGTTAGTCTCTAAGGTGCCACAAATACTCCTTTTCTTTTTGCGAATACAGACTAACACGGCTGTTACTCTGAAATCTGTCATTGGAGATTTTTAAAAGCAGGTTAGACAAACACCTGCCAGGGATGGTCTAGAAGATAATACGTAGTCCGGCCTTGAGTGCAGGAGACTGGACTAGAAGACCTCTCGAGGTCCCTTCCAGTCCTATGATTCTATGAAAGGATATTAGGATTCAGCCCATTATTTTTAAATTTAGGAGACAGAAGCTAACCTTGATCCTGCAAACATGTATATGAGTCACTCTACTCACACAACTAGCCCCATGGAATGGGCTACTTGTGTGAAAGAGTAAAGGGACTATTCCACTGAATAAAATTGTTCGTGTATGTACACATTTACAGGATTGAGCCTCTGAAGGCCAAATCCTTGAAGCTATTGACTATCTACCACTGGGATTTGGTCTTATATTAGCATTAAGTGTCCTTTACTTTGCCGATATTCTTTGTCAAATTAATGCATGTACGTTGCAAAGGTACTCTTACTGTGGAGACCTCTTGAATACCTTGGTGTTTGTGCCTTCCCTACTTGCTCTAATACAAAATCTTAAATACTAGGCCTTTCCAGCATCAGTAACTAACCACCACAACTCCAGGTCTCATGAAACACCACTGTGCTTTGTTATATCCCTTCAGCAGGCCACAGCGTAGAGCATTATTTACATCCTATTTACAATTAGGAGCCAGCTTCCCCCACTTGCACTGGGAGAAGGGTACAGTTGCCAGGCTTGCTACTCCTTTCTCCCTTCAGGCTTCCTACTCTCCTTCCAAGCACTTCCTTCTTGTCTGTTTATATAGTCCCAGCTGCTGGGGGAGGGGAGGTTACTTCCACCCAATTAGCCCCTCAGATGTATCTCTACTCAGTTAATTGACGCCCTCTTCCAACTGCCTGTCTTTCAGTCAGGTCCCAATTAATGGCGATTTGAGCGATAAGATGCTGAGTGCTTGGTTTTATTCCCAAAAGGAATTCAATATGAAACAGCACAAAATCCAGCCAAGCCTTCTCGCCAGGCTTCACTCCTTACAGGATTCCACCTCAAGGGTTTGCTCAGCCCACATACTAGATTCTTCCTCTCTCAAGGGTCATTCCCATCTCCCTTACTTCCGGATAAGGCAATGAGCGGGCTGTAGCTATGACTCAGCAAAATACACTGAACGTTTTTTTACAAGATGATCAACATTTTTTAAACCAGGATCATCACCCAGTTACAGGGTGGGGTTGCCAGCCTCTTCCAGTGCATTGTAAACTTTTTCCTCAGCAAAATTTAATCCTTCATTTGAGGGAAATTTTTGAGCACTTGTCAAAACAAAAAAGCTTTGAGTTGTTTGCGTGATGCAAAATAAGTTTTTTAGGAGTATCTTGATTGCAGTAAAATGAACTAAGCACATAATATGTCCCTAGCTCAATGATGTTTTTAAGGCTTTACATCTGTATTTGACTGCTTATGTGATTTACCAAAACATAATATGCTTATATTTAATGTACATCCCATTTAAATGGAGATATCAAAATAGAATCACTTCATGTCTATTTAAGCAAGAAAGGAATGGACTTGCTAAAAATACCAATTGTATAGGCCCACAAAAGACTGTGGAGAAATAGAGAATCAGCTAGTCCAGATGCATGGAATCTGTTAAAATTAGGTCTATTGAATCTTTACACTGCAATCCTATTAGATAAGAAGCATGATCCTAATGGCTCAGTGTGCTTCCTCTCTCCCCAGGAATGCGGCAAGGTAATGACTTTGGCACACAGTATCGCTCAGCCATCTACACGTTCTCTCAGGAACAGATGGAAGCTGCTCTGAGATCTAAAGAGGATTATCAAAAGGTAATATTGAATAGGGTGTGGAATTAGCCTGTGCATGGTCAAAGGTGAAGGGAAATTGGGAATGAGCACAGAAGGTGAGCTCATGTTCTGTGTGTTTGCTGTGTATTGTTCCTTTCACTATTCACTGGATGTTGTGTTGATTTTAAGGTTTAAGTTTGAATTGTTATAAAAGTTTTTGTGAATCATCTTGGTGGCTTTGTGCTGAATTGTTTAGCTACTTGTTCTGGTAGAAAATATGAATGTTTTAGTCTTAAAATACAGACTATGTGGATGTGCCAAAACAAAACCCAGGGACCATAGGGCTGTCCAAATCTCAACTTTGCAGTTGGCCCCTATTCCTGTAATGGTTCAAAGCAAATCTCAAATCCAAGCACTCATGAATTTGGGTTAGTTTGGATCCAGATTAGAACTCTGCCTCTCAGGGTCATCTCTAATTGTGTGTTTTTCAATCTTTAAAATGTATCTGTAGTGTACTCAGCAGTCTATTCCATACCTGCTTAGACCAGGTATGACTTGAGGGAGACTTACAGTCTATCGTACGACTTAGGGAGACGCTCTGTGTTGACATTAGACAACACACGATTTGTTTAATGTGAGAGGTAGAGAGAAAGACTATAGACTCTTTCAACTTCAGCAGCTCCAGTGAACGTTCCCATATGAATTAATGACATTTGGGTTCTGGCTTTGCCTATCATAAGAGATCCTATAGGACTCAGATCGACAAAAGGCAGCAGAATTATTATATCTTAGAAAAAGCTACGAAGGGTCTGACAATCTTTTTCTTTCAAGATCCAGATTTTTTTTTTTTTTGGAAAAATGTTGACTGTGTATGTGTCCTTTTGAACAGTTGACCTAAATGGTGTCCTACTATGAAAGCTAAGTTCATAATCCAAATGTTGCAATTAATGGTACAAGATATCACTGTAGAATGATATTAATGTTTTAGGTTTCTCTCTCTCCAGTTTTCCTCCATACAGTATTTCTCCACTGTGACAGCATTTAGAACATCACTCAACATCTCTGTCTAGAACATACAGCTTCTTGTGATGTAGGAACACAGGAATTGCTACCAGATCAGCCTAGACATCTAGCCAGTACAATATCTGGTGTTTGATAGTGACCAGAACCAGAGGCTGCAGAGGAGGGTGTCTAAATTCCTGTAATGGGCAATTATGGAGTAATCTGCTATTAAGCAGTTATGACATAATGCAATTGCAGATTAGCTAGCAAGTGGTGCTAAGAGAATGGCACCTTTCGCATCTCCCCTCCAGGAAGAAAGATCATGTCACTTACACAGGGCACTCACTAGAGGATGATTATGTTAAAGAACAAGAATATTGGAGAACTAGTACTTAGGTATTATGGTGATAGGTGTTTTAGAGGTGCTGGTAGATAAAATAGAAAGACAGAAGTCCTTCAAGAATATTTAGTATAAATACAGTAGGGAGCTGAAGTATTAAGGAATAAAAGACAAATCAGAAGTATATGCTACTCTGAATGGGAGGATGTAGCTATTGAGCTATATGTAGTGGGTCTGATTTTTATAACTCTGCATATACTAATTTTGTGCCCAAAATTATGCATACAATTGACTACTTTGCATATGCAATTGCCATGGTCTGATATGAAAATCACTGCTTTGAACATGCAAATAACCAATTTCCAAATGGCTGCTAGCACCTTAGTAACTGTGCATGCAAATTGTGTACAATTGCTTCTATATTTTTGTAATAGTGGCACCCACGTAAGTATAGCTCTGAAGCCGCTTGAGGTTCTCTCTCTGTGGACAAAGTGGCTGCTGAAGTTTCATTCTTCATCTATACCTTACAGAACTTCATGCTACTTATTGTTACTTTGGACCCAGGCCTTTTCCAACTTGCTTTCTTTTCTCTTCTGCTCACAGCAGTGGAGCCATATCACAGTATGAGTCTTACAACTTTCTGTTTGCTCTCCCAAAGCTGTGAGTCTCACCAAACGGATACTAATCTGAAACCAAGATCCCGATACGAAACAATATAACATAATGCTATGTGAACTGACATCTCTATAGTAGAATTTCCTAAAGGCACAGTTTATAAAAATCAGTCTAATTAGGGTGTTGTCATAAATATAAAGGGAAGGGTAAACCCCTTTGAAATCCCTCCTGGCCAGAGGAAAAGTCCTCTCACCTGTAAAGGGTTAAGAAGCTAAAGGTAACCTCGCTGGCACCTGACCAAAATGACCAATGAGGAGACAAGATACTTTCAAAAGCTGGGAGGAGGGAGAGAAACAAAGGGTCTGTGTGTCTGTCTATATTCTGTCTTTGCTGGGGATAGACCAGGAATGGAGTCTTAGAACTTTTAGTAAGTAATCTAGCTAGGTATGTGTTAGATTATGATTTCTTTAAATGGCTGAGAAAAGAACTGTGCTGAATAGAATAACTATTTCTGTCTGTGTATCTTTTTTGTAACTTAAGGTTTTGCCTAGAGGGGTTCTCTATGTTTTGAATCTAATTACCCTCTAAGGTATCTACCATCCTGATTTTACAGGGGGGATTTCTTTATTTCTATTTACTTCTATTTTTATTAAAAGTCTTCTTGTAAGAAAACTGATGCTTTTTCATTGTTCTTAAGATCCAAGGGTCTGGGTCTGTAGTCACCTAGGCAAATTGGTGAGGCTTTTTACCAACCTTGTTCAGGAAGTGGGGTGCAAGGTTTTGGGAAATATTTTGGGGGGAAGACGTGTCCAAACAGCTCTTCCCCAGTAACCAGTATTAGTTTGGTGGTGGTAGCGGCCAATCCAAGGACAAAGGGTGGAATATTTTGTACCTTGGGGAAGTTTTGACCTAAGCTGGTAAAGATAAGCTTAGGAGGTTTTTCATGCAGGTCCCCACATCTGTACCCTAGAGTTCAGAGTGGGGGAGGAACCTTGACAGGTGTTAATATAATTAGGCACAGATATGAAACTGATATCCTTCATAGTTTGTTTCTGAACTGGGAAGGTGACTTTAAAAAAGGGGACTATTCAGTCAATTACTCTGCTACTCAACAAACATGTACTGCAGTTACCAGAGTGCCTGCCACATCACCTACAGTCGCACTGTAGTTATGGTAAATCTCTTGTCGTTCAGAGAGCCGTGACCCATTCCGATATTTTGTAGCAACCTTTTTTCCCTTTGATTTGCATTGCATTATTTTTAAGGTAAATATATACAGTAAACTTCCTTATACATTCATGTTCTACGAACAATAGATGCGCAACAATGCTTGAGCCACTTTTGCCTATGTCAGATGGATCTCCATAAACGTTATCAAGTCAGATAAAGGGCATTTACGTGTAGCATACTGCTTGGTTTTCCAAGGTCTGCATTGACGCACCCCACATCCTGCACTACGCTAAACGTATAGTACCAACAATATATGTGTGAGTGGTACCCATGATTTGCTGGCACTGTAATTAAATTAAAGCCAAGTTGTCTTGTTTGTTATCTCCCTGCATAATGGAACATGTTCTTAGGCCAGTTAGCTGTCCTTTTTTTTGTCTTTTTTTTTTCCAGCTGAGACCTTGAAAAGAATTAACAGTAGATTGTTTCAGGGAGCCACAGAATTGTAGAAATGTAGGGCTGGATGGGACCTTGGGCGGTTATCTAGTCCAGCTGCCTGTGCTGATGTAGGATCAAGTATACATTATGTTATCTTGTATATGTTGTTACACTGAAGGAAATTTTTTTGGTTTTATTGGGGATAGAAATCCTCCTGCTTCAGGACGTAAGGCAACCATTAACTCATGGGAGTTAGGAAGAAACTTCCTTTAAGTATGGGATGTCCCACAACAACTCACTATGAGGTTTCTTATACTTCTCTAAAGCAGCTGGTGGAGGCATTAGAGACAGGCTCCTGTTTAAGAGGGACTGCTACACCTGTGAATGACAATTCTTATCCCTGTGAAACAGTAAAGTTATGCATCATTTTGCTATCTTAATGCTGAAAAACACCGGCTTTAAAGTGGGAGAAGACTATATTTTTCCTGTAGGCCTTCTGCATCCCTGTCCGAGTCCCGAAGAACCCAACATTTCAAATTACACACACTTCCTATAAGGTGGCACAGAATCATTATCCTTCCAAGGCACAGAAGACACAGTAGCTGCAGAAGTGTGCTCTTCTGTGCCCTTCAAAGTCTCTGCTTAATAGTATGCTCAACAGTGTCCACTAGTATGAAGATCTCCTCCCAGAACTTGAGCATGCTAAGTATGCAACATGTCTACATTTGACTAGTCCTGGGGGCAAGAATGAGGTTGTGCGTTGAACCTGAGCGTCCCTCATATACACATCTATTTTAAGCTGTGACATTTGTTGCTGATTCATGCAGCTGTTTAACAGCTGAGAAATGGCAATACAGCAACCAGGAATTAATAAGTAGTGGGGCCAAGCATCTTTGACTGTTTTTGAAATTGAGTGCATACAGTGGTAGTCAGTGAATGGTAATATGTATTATAATACAGTTCCACTGTTAGTGAATTGTAACAAAGGTGTAAGTGTAATTATAAAAACAGAAAATGGGGGCCAGAGCTTGATGAATGTGCTGTGAGTTAGCTCTTCAATCCATTTTGTCTGAAGCTGAGGTGTTTGGTTTTTTTTTTAATACAGTTGAACCTAAGGTTATTTAATTTTCAAGACAGTTGCGAGTTTGGATCTGGTTGTCAAATGAATTATCTAGGCAATAATCCAGATGCAGAATTAGGGTGGGGAGAGAGAGATTTTTTTTCCTCAAAATTGCAATCTTACTAGGTTCAATCAGGCTGCACGCATCAGGTTTGCAGGCTTCCAGGAATCCACTGAAGTTAATTGCAAAAGAACAGTGGAAGACATGCTGGGGTTACTTTATGTATGTAATATGCTTCCTAAACTGATGTAGGTTTCAGTGACTTAGCCAATAAGTTTATCTGAGAAGATAAAACCAAACAACGGTATAACCAGGAGTAATGGAATTAAATTAAACAAATGAACATTTAGAATGAATAT